TATGTGCGTGCCTACGCTCGTTATGTATACTACTTTCTGTTTGTTTTCTTGATCATTTCGTATTTATTATTTATACAAGTTGTGCCGTAGTTTAAATTTTGACTTAATGATGTTCTTTGTGTGCATTGCTTATCTATGAAAATTAATTCCTCTACATTCTTTAAATTTTATTATTATACATTTAGAACTTCAAATAGGGGATGCCTTAACTTATTTCTTAATCGACTATACACATAAGTCAATGTTTTTAAAAACTTTTGCGGTGGTTTACGCCGTAGTTCAAGGCTTTTCCACTCTCACTCTCTGAGTAGGCCGACAAATTCGGTATTTAATGAATCTTCTTTATGACTAGAGCCCTAGGGGAAGGCGCCTGTTTTATTGAAGGGGCCCTTTCAAACATTATGATGTAGTAGCTAAGGGTCTACACGTATTGGCGAACCACATGCGGAACTTCCCTTTCGAAAATGATGTAGTCGCAGTTGCTCCTGCTGTTATATTTGATGGTCCTTTTTCCAAAATTATGGCGTAATCGCTAAACGTATTGGGAAGAATGTGAAACCGAGAGACGTCTGGGGGGTATACTATGCTCCCAGTCGGCCGCTATTTTGGAAATTTGACATCACGGCTACAATTTAGATTCAATTTATATTTCAGTGATTTGTTTTTTATTGTGAATTCGAGTACTGCTATCTCAGTCGATTTCCAAGGTTAGCGTGTTATGAAACAAGAAACAAGACAGCTCTAAGGAAGTCAATATTAAATCTTAATTCATGGTTGTATATTTGTGCTGGTCACTTCCTTAACGTTGTGCCTGCATCACGAATTTCGTTTTAACGTCAAATATCCTTAAGTGAAGATATTTTACTTATATAAGCGAGTTTCCTTTATAATTAAAAAAATGATTACAATTGAGTTTGAATGGCAGTGGCTGAGACAACTAAAATTTCTCTCTAGTAGTTTTCGATCTTATTTGCTTTTCAAATTTCAATGTTACCACCAAATGCTTAAGTGGGCACCGGTATCACTTCAGCGAATTAGATGTTGTGGCCCACGCTCAACACGCCTACTTGGACTCAGCTACCGAGCCAGCACTCTAACCCAAAGAAACAAAAGAAAATAAAAATAGTGGAAAACAAGATGTTGAAAATGATGAAAATGGTACTACAAAAGAAGCCAAAGATCAATGTGAAGAAAAAGAGTCGTACGAGAAAGTTATACTTTGTACAAACCAATTTATTTCGATGAGACCTTTTACCCATGAAGGGTAGAACATGTGTTTACCCACCCCCCTTTTTCTAAAGTTTAAGTCTCACAAATTGATTTTTCCGATGTGTACGATGACAGGTGTTTTGTGCGCAGAGTGGCGTAGTGAGCGCACGCCATTGCACACAGCTATAGGTACTGACACTCCCAAAGAGACATTAGAAATAATAGAGCCAGAGAAGGACAATAAAAAGAAAAGCAAACAGTTTTTGAGAATAAGATAAAAATAAAAGTGAACATAACCTCTTACAAAAATTAACTGTCACTTCTGATTTTTCAGTTTGACCAACTTACGAATGACGAAATATAGGTAACATAACCTCAGATTTCGACGAAATGAAGTGAACTTTTAATTATGGTTGTGCGGACTTCTCCCGCAATTTTTTCTGTTAAAAACGCTTAATTATGGTGCGCTCTAGCCATTCTTATTAGTGTCGTGATCGTAGCTCGGGGGGACTTAATAATGTCACGTACCCGGCACTTTTATTCAAAAGCTGCTAGAACTATAAATTGTGGCAGAGCTGGGCAGAATACTTTCAAAAAGTATTTGAATACTAAATAGTAAATACTTTACACAAATCAAAGGTATTTGAATACTAAATACTTTTACGTCCAGCACAAGCGAATACTAGACACAGATACATTGAAAAGGATTCAAATACTTTAAAAAATAAGTATTCAAATACTTTAGAATGTATTCGAATACTTTCAAAAGTATTCTAATACTATCAAAGGTATTCGAATACTATAAAAAGTATTTGAATACTTTGAAAAGTATTTCATTATCTTACTTTGAAAAGTATTCGAATACAGTAAAAAGTATTCAAATACTTGTCACTCAAATACATTAAAAACTTAAAATAGTATACTAGATAAAAGGCTTAATACTACTTAAAAAATCAAGTTATACTTTGTATGGGGTTAGCTTTTTTATATTTCTATTGTTATATACAAATTTAAGGGGAGTAAAAGCGTATTATTATTATTATTATATAGGAGGTACCTACCAGGGACCTTTCTTATACCAGTTATATCCTTAAGAATACGTGTACCAGTTTTCAAAGCGTCGTGCACATGATACGTGCGCCTTTCTAAAATTAATCCTAGCGATTTTGGAACAGATCCATTTTTGACCATCCGTTTGTCCGTGTGCATGATAAACGTGCGATCGCTTTGAAAATTGGTACACATGGTTTTAAGGATATAAGAAAGGTCCCTATTGTTTTTAAGTTACGTAGACTATCGAGTTCGGTATTCAGATGTATCGGATTTTTATATTTGATTTTGTGACAATGAAAACTTTCCCTAAACATTTCTAAATTGTTCTCAAATATTTGAATAACTTAAAAGTACTGCCTTTTTTTGAGGCCGGAAAAAAATTGTCTGAGATCGAGATCGATCGAGAGTCCATAATTTCAAACAGTTTGAAGATTGGGCTACTAGATCAAAAGTTACAGCCCTTTGAATTTTCTTTCGAAATTGGTTTCTAGTCTATAACTTTTGATTGAGAAGTCTGATCGAAAAAGTACGAATTGTTTTGGATTCCACGCACCAAAATTAATAAGAAAAAGTGTTTTCCCGAGAAATTTTGGTGTAGTCGATTTTTGGTAAAAAAGGAAGGTTATACACTGCCTTTTTTTTGAGCCCCGAAAAAAAAATTGTCTCAGATCGACCCGGAAAAAAAATTTTCTTATAGAATGTGGCCTGTAGAATCCATAATTTCAAACAGTTCCAAGATTGGGCTACTGGTTCAAAAGTTACAGCCCTTTGAATTTTCTTTCGAAATTGGTTTCTAGTCTATAACTTTTGATTGAGAAGTCTGATCGAAAAAGTACGAATTGTTTTGGATTCTACGCACCAAAATTAATAAGAAAAAGTGTTTTCCCGAGAAATTTTGGTGCAGTCGATTTTTGGTAAAAAAGGAAGGTTATACACTGCCTTTTTTTGAGGCCCTCAAAAAAAATTGTCTCAGATCGACCGGGAAAAAAATTTTCTTATAGAATGTGGCCTGTAGAATCCATAATTTCAAACAGTTCCAAGATTGGGCTACTAGTTCAAAAGTTACAGCCCTTTGAATTTTTCTTTCGAAATTGGTTTCTAGTCTATAACTTTTGATTGAGAAGTCTGATCGAAAAAGTACGAATTGTTTTGGATTCTACGCACCAAAATTAATAAGAAAAAGTGTTTTCCTGAGAAATTTTGGTGTAGTCGATTTTTGATAAAAAAGGAAGGTATACACTGCCTTTTTTTGAGCCCCGGAAAAAAAATTGTCTCAGATCGACCGGGAAAAAAATTTTCTTATAGATTGTGGCCTGTAGAATCCATAATTTCAAACAGTTCCAAGATTGGGCTACTGGTTCCATAGTTACAGCCCTTTGAATTTTCTTTCGAAATTGGTTTCTAGTCTATAACTTGATTGAGAAGTCTGATCGAAAAAGTACGTTGTTTTGGATTCTACGCACCAAAATTAATAAGAAAAAGTGTTTTCCCGAGAAATTTTGGTGTAGTCGATTTTTGGTAAAAAAAGGAAGGTTAAGTATTCAAATACTATGCGAAGTATTCGAATACTTCTCAAAGTATTCAAATACCTTGCGAAGTATTCGAATACTAAATATTTGTGAAAGTATTTGAGTTGCTTCCATAAAAGTATTTAATTACAAAGTATTTGAATACTTTAAAGGATTTGAATACTAAAAAGTATTTACAAAATCGAATACTGCCCAGCTCTGAATTGTGGGTAGAACAAAGATTTTAAACAACTTTCACCAAGGTTTGTCTACATCTGTTTTTCGATGTTAACAAACAATAAAAAAATAAGTAAAAAATCGAAGAAGTCTCTAATCGAACCCTATATTCATGCTCTGGTTGACTAAAAACCTAGTCGAGCAATAGATTTTTTTCGTGATCTGTCTCGAAATTATTCGTACCAAAAAATTTGACATACTCGTATATAATGTGTGCCTGCTTCCAGAAAAATTTGATTCTGAGATCTACATGGATAAATATGAGGGAATTTTTGTACCCTATCAAAGCCAACAACGCATTTAATAATAGCTAACGTTAAGTCCGATAGAGTAAACTTAGTAAATTAATCATTCTACAAGATTCGCAACTAGAAATTACCAAGAGATTACCAACGGCAATTACTTAATTGTTGAACATTTTGCAGCTATTCGGAATACATACATAATTGGAATGCAGATACATCCATACCTTCAATTGCATCTCTAATTGGCGTAAAAGAAAATAAAAGCTTTATGCACATACCTTCAACCTACTTAAATATCGATTACTATATAATCGGGGCGGATTTTTTGAGTAAACAACAAATGCAAATCGGCAAGGGAGATTTCGTATATTAAAAATGACATTCCGTCCACCTAAAATGTGCCAGCATTCTTTCGGCATGTGAAAAGGAGCGAACTGACAACGCGAGACGGACCATTCTTGTAAAGATCGAGATCGAGATAAAATTTGGCACCCTGGCATTTCAAAGCTTCTTTTATTAAGACTACCTTTACGAGTCCAAGGGGGGGATCGTACGCCACTTATTATAATCAGTCGAGATTATTTCAGGTTTTAAATTTAAATTAAATAGTGCGAGTTCGAACTCGCCCTCTTTTAACAAGATAAGTCTTAATCGCTGGTCGAAAAATGAAAAACGAGCAAAATCGCGAAGCGAGAGTAATTGACAGTGCCGATAATTTAATTTTTCGGACGCGTGAGAAAGGACTTACGTGAACTTTTACTTCTAGCGATGCGTACCTGAAAAAGAAAAGAAGCATTAATATCACACGACTTTATACCGAACAAAAGTAACAGTAGAGTATTTTCTTGAAAAATGTAATTAACTAGGAAAATGGGAACGGCAAAAAAAATTAATTTGAATAAAACAATACATTTGACATTTTTAGAGTGGAGAGTAAATTGATAGTTTTAGCTTTCATTTTCGCGTTGTATGACAGTTAGGTACATGTTACTACACGGCATGTAATTGAAAAGAAATAATAAATTGAAATTGTCAAAACAATTAACGGTATCACGGAAGTGTTATTTCTAAACTGTAATTCCTCTCCTTACGCTCATGTAGGTACTAATCAAAACAATCACATAGATTTTGCAATATTCGGTAAATTTCATGACTCGTTAAAAAAAGTATAATGGTACCACACAAAACATCACAAATTTAAAATGTACAGTAATATAGTAACCAATAAAAACCATCAAATGTACCGAATTTATATGATTACCCCAGTTTTATGTGCTAGAAAAAGGTAACTCAATTTAATCTGATATGGATTTATTTTAATTGATTACTTAGTATATCTGACCACCTGACCCACTATCTTAGGTACAGCTGGTATCCTTAAAGGAAGTAGGTATCAATTACCAATTTTGAGTACAAAAAAGTATACGCACACACGGTATATTGAAAAACCAGCAAAACGCATACGTATTTCATATTCCAGAAACAACCTGCTACTGCCAAAGGTGAAAGAAAAAACCAATAACAATAGCTGATAGTTTCAAGTTCCATGCTCTTTAGACTATTATCCCCCCCCGAACCAAAACTGGAACGAACAAAATTCGACAACAGTTTTCGAGTTTCACCCCCCGGGGGGAGGGGGCAATTGCTGCCTTGCCTTGGGTGCCTAACATGGACGCCGTTTTCGAAGATGGTGGCACATATTAATTATTATGTGGTAAGTATCTTTGAAATGAAGATTCTACCAGGGAATTTAGATATAAACGCTTCTATAAGGGTGCCCGACTATAAATCGTTTCTAATTTTAAATAAAAGAAGCGTACGAAAAAAATGGCAGGCCATGAGGGCGCCAACTTCAGGAGGAAGTAGAAATTTTACACTCCAGATTTTTTAATTTTGTTTTTGTTTAATCCAGAAAACCGGGTCTGACATAATACGCTAGAAAGAGGCCCACTATATAATGCTTATTGTGTTTCTTTCTAGGTGAGTATAAGACCCGCAATCATGTTTTTCCAACTGGAAAAGAAAGTGGAGTTTTTCAACTCGAATTTCAAAGTTTGACACATGAGCGTAGCGAGTGTGTCAATTGATTGAGAGTTGAAAAACACTTTCTTCTCAAGTTTTACACATAATTTTCTCTGAAACTAAAATCAAAATTGAAAAATTATCGTATGCAATAATGCAGTTTGGCACATAGCAATCTAGATACGGTTATGTTTCAATTTTAAATGTCATGATTAAGATTAAGATTAATTGTTTTTTACTTCCTCACTAGAGGGGAAAATTTTCCTCACCCTTTTTAGAGACGAAAGTAGTTGTTTCTACAGTAGTTTCAGAAAAAGGAATATTGCGGGCCCTTCAACGCTGTTAAAAGCGCGACAGCTCATAGAGGACCTTTAAGCACTTCTAAAAAGTCTTCTATAAGACCCTTGGAATCGCTTAAAAACTCTTTAGAGCTCATAGAGGATCTGCTGTTGAATCCTATTTAGAAACTTGAAACTTGAAACTTGAAACTTTGACATATGCCTGGCGTCGCCGCCTCTCCCAGGATTTAGTCAACTGTCGTGAGGATGCGTCCCTGGTAGACACTATCAGGGACGTTTCTCCACTACTTTGTTGCCATCGCGCTGGGCCGCGACATATGCCAAACAATGTGGTGGATTTTGTGGATTGGGGGGGTTGTGGGGGGGGGCGGCTAACTGGGTGTTATCCGACCCGAACGGGTACGGCCACAGCTTCGCCACTGGTATTCTGCCTTAGAGGGAACTCTGCTTTCTAGTGATAGCTTCTTCTCCGGGCGTTCATTGGCTTCCGGTGTTCCTATCCTTTGGTCTCGTTCCCTTCCCTGTTTTCCCTCGTGTTAGGCTCTTTTTATTGTTGTCCTCTCCCCGCATTACTTTCTGTCCCCTTTTCCTCCTCCCCTTGGCTACTTGTCCTTGTGGCTGATTATTCCTCCACCTCCAGTATTCTTCTGCTTTCTTTCTTCCTTTGATGTTTGTCTCTGCTATTCTCTCCCATCTTCTCATGGTAATCCCCGAGACCTCTACCGTTTGGTTTATGGTGGTGTTCCATGTTTGGCAAGGTCGGCCTACCTTCCGTTCCGAGGCACATAGAATCTTGGCAGCCCGAATGATATGGTCTTTGTTCCTCCTGTTGGTATGTCCCCAGTATCTCATCTGCCTCATCTTCAGTCTCCTGGCAATCGTCTTTCCCTCTAATAGTTCTCTTCTCTGCTTTCCTGTGAGGTTGCTGTTTTCCTCAGTATCCTGAGTGCCTTCCACTCTGCCCTCCTCAATGTTCGTCTATTGCTCTTTGTTGGCGCTGAAGTGTTAATTCCGTATAAGATTGTCGGTGCTACGATCGTGTTGTAAATCATCATTTCAAGCTGTCCGGTATTTTCTTCGCTCGTATGAAGTTCCAGATTCCGTGTGCGATTCTGAATGCGTTGGTTATTCTGTCTTTCACTGCGTTGTGCCTGCTGAGGGTGCTGCTTATGTACTTACGTTCCCATATATTTGATCTTGTGCTTCATGGTTATCTCCTTCCCGGCTATGGTCTTCTCTCCTTCTTTGTACTGGGGGTGTTGTTTGCTGGCACTCTTGTCATCATGTAGCTCTTTTCGTTGTATATTTGTAGGTCCACCATTTCCTGGTGTATCTGGTATCCCGATGGCCTGGACGAAGTCCTCAGTGTCTTAAAAATTATCCGCGATTACGAGTAGATCGTCCGCGTACGCCAGTAATGTCGGTAGTTGTAATTGGTCGCCTATGCTAAGGTTCCTCACCACCATCCTTGTTTGTTCTATAGCATGGTCTAGTGCTATCGCGAAGAGCCTTGGGGAAACGGACATCCTTGTTTGATCCCCCTGGTTTTCTTTTGGTGTTCGATTTTCTTCCAAAACCATTGTATACTAGTATACTCCCTTTGCCACGCGTGTATGGTTCTGTTGATTAGGAATTTGGGTAGTCCCAGCATCGCCCATGCTGTTATTGGTATATATTTTCTGTTTCCCCCTTGTTTCCTCCTTTTATATTTTCTGATGTGCCTATACCATTACATTTCCGTATTCCTCTCCATTGGTCTGAGTTTGGTGATGTTCTCCGCGAACTCGTCGAATTCCTTGATTTCGTGTTGCTCATAGGCTCTATTTTCTTCTTCCTTGGCTTCCCTTAGCTTCTTCTTTGTTTCAGGTTAGTGTGGGCTTTGGCCCGCTTTCTGTTCGGTCACATGGGCGGTTTCTGTTTCCCTAGTGTTTCCCTTGTTGCTTCTTTGATCGTTTCGCCGATCTTTTTCCATATGGTATCCCATCCCCTTTTTGCTTCTGATCTTTTACCACTGCTTTCGGTACTCCTTTCTTTTCTTCTCCCCTGACAGAAGTTTCACATTCCGCCTTTCGGTTTCCCCGTTGTGCTCCTTGTCCTTTCCTTCCTGTTCTCTTCTTCCCCTCCCCCCTCTTTACTTTCCCCTTTACCATTTTGTGGTCCGATCCTACTGTTTTTTTCCCATATGCCTGCTGTGTTCGTGACGCTTATTTCCTTTGATTACATGTTACCATTTTGGACTTGCCGAATATGTTTTCTACCCTCAGTCCATGTAGGTGTACCATGTTCGTAAAGCTCGCTGCCGTTCCCTTCCTCCTATTCACTTCCGTCCAGTCTGCCTAGTTGTGCATTGAAGTCGCCTAGTATGATACCTCGGTTCTTTTCGCACTTTTTGTTGTTGTTTCACTTCGATTTCTGAGTTCCGCCTGCCCTCTTTTGTCCGAGGGGATGTGGCATCCTATGATTGTTAGTCTTCTTATTTTCATCTTGATTTGGGCCATGGATATACTCTTGCTTTTCCTTCAAATTTCTCCACCTCAATGCATCTGTGCTTCTTGATTACCGCAACCCTGCTGGTTCTCTCCTTCTTCCCTCCACGTATCCGTCTACGTCTCCTACCAATTGTGGGTAGAAATCTTCCAGGTTTTCCCTGATGTATGCGTTGATTTCTTTTTTAATCATTTGGTTAATTTCCTGTGAGGCTCTGATGTCACTGGCAGTCGCCTCAGTTGGTGCGCAATCGCTCCAAACAGGCAGTCCCCATCCTTATTTATACTGATGCATTCTAGGATGTATTCTTTTGATCGTACTTCTATTTGATCGCTGTTACGAGTACTTGTCTTTAAGGTCTTAATCCTGGTTTGGGTGGTGGGTGCTGTTTATTGATCGCTAAAAGAGATACCTAGGAGAGATAATTTAGTTAATTTAATTGTTAAGTCACCGAGACGTGCCCCTTCATTCTATCTTTGACCGCCCCGTATATTCTATTGTGTCTGGGAGACTCTAAACTAAAGGTACTAACGAAAGTAAAAAGCGCAAAAAACAGGAAAAAAAGCCGCTGTAATTTGGTAAGAAAGGTTTCCTTTTTTTGTCAATCATGCCTATTAGACCGAAATTTGAGAGCTTAAAAATTGTAATTTATGGCTTAGTTTCTTTATATGTCTCCGGTTGACAAGCTTATATTTCCTTTCCCAAGGGTCAATTTGTTCCACCCCGATTCGAAGTAGGTATATTCAATGTAGCTCCCAGTGACTTGCGCCTCTCTATTCTATCTTTTCCCATTTGTTCACTTTTAAATTAAATTTAGCCTTAATTCTAAGTAAGTATACAGTCTTAATTATATTTTATAATAAACCGAGTACGAGTAATAAACTATATAATTCTTTACAGATCATTGGGAGCGCAATAACATTTATTTTGGTGGTTGTACAAGAAGATATGAACTTGTAACTATTTTCATCGTATCAATCTGAACAAAAGTCTCAAAGACCAAATAATAATCTGCCGAGGACATGAAAATCCTATACAAAAGAGTCAATAGTTCTTTAAGATTGAACTACTTTGCCCTGAATCACGGACCACGCATGACTTGGTGAAAGCATATGTATATATATACAGGGAGATACACGTAGCCCGTTCGTTAAAAGTTTCTAAACTTGCAGTTGAAATAGAAACCTGACATTTTGTTTACAGTCATAATCGACCATTACGAATTGAAATACAGTAATTTCAATCTGACGCCGGTTTCGTAGCTTGATTGACTTTTTTTTAAATAGAAATATACCATTTTCTAGTTTTTTTTTCCTAATTGCGCTGTTTTATTTTGAAATGAAGGCAATTAAGAAGTAAGTAACTATCTGTCATAGTTTTTGAAATATGTCAATTTTTTCCACAAATTTGGAGATGCAAGGTCTATTTTAAAATTAATATCTCTTAAACCGTTCAAGATAAGTGAGTGCTATTTCTATAAACGAATCCTTAAATTCTAAGGAATTTTTTTAGTAACCGCCGAAAGTCTGGAAAAAGTTTCCAGGGCTGCTGCCATTTTTTAAGGTTAGCAATCAAAAAATGTAAACATATTCAGTTTCAGTCAATTATGGCTGTAAACCAATATTTTAAGTTTCTATTTCAACTGTAAGTTTAAAAACTTCTAACGAACGTGCCACGTGAATCACCCTGTATAATACCCATATACATTCGGTGAACACAATCATCGCTAAAAAAGAACGCTTTCAAAAGTTCATTCTTTAAAAAAACCCAATTCAAAAATTATTAACAACCAGCACATTTAAAATTGAAGAATTACCACGTCCCCTATTATCTAATAAATAGTAAAAATTTCAATAACCATAAAGAATTGTGTCATAATTCGAAAGAATTACTCTTTTACCGTACTGAAATTAAAATTTTTAAGATTGGAAATGTTTAAGGTTTTGTTTCGTATATGGGTATAAAGTTTCAAATTTCGTTCATCGTTCATCATTGTTTTTCCATTTCATTTTTCTACATTTGTACAGTTTAGAGGTCTTTGAGGAGGCTGAATTTTGGTCTGTGTTCTTATAATAGTAAACAAACAAAAATTTTTTTTATAGATATCTACACGAAAAAACAAGAGGAGAAAAGAGACAGAAAGAAAATTCATTCTTATCATTAAAAAAAAATTAATAGGGAAAGGGATTCTCTATGCACTAAACATGCAGCCCTGAGTTAAAGTGTAGCTTTAGTTAATAAAATTTCAATATTTTTTTTTATGAAGTCAACAAAAAATTTTCATTTTACTTTTTTTTTCATTATTTAGAGCTTTGATTAATATTCAAAGATTTAGAGATGAGTGCGTTCAACGTGTTACCTATCTTGCATGGAAATTGCTCTCTTTCATATTTACTTATAGTAGTGTTTCTGTGTGTGGTAAATAAAACAACCAATGATAAATAATAACAATTATTTCAACTTATATACATTTTGCATGAAATACTGTCGATTATTAATTATTCTTATCTGTAGTTTTAAAAAATAGATTTGTATCTGTGGTAATATCATCAATCAACGGTAATTTTCAATAAATGTGTATATTGTTATAGTTTCTCCTGATATTAAAATTAAGCAGGCCCGAGAATTTGGCAACACTTTAGAAGTACCTATAGGATCGTTTTAACCATATCCTGCATGTGTTGCTATATGTTTAAAGTATTCTGCTTCTTATTTAAGCCCGGCGACACCAACCCTTCCCAAGGTATTGTATATATAGCAGCACAGGCAGGAAGCAGTTTATTCACTGCATCCACAGTGTTGACAACTTTTCGGACCTAAACTAAGCAGCTTCCGTTTTCCCTCCCAACTTACTTAGAAGTGGGCTTCAAACAAAACATGCGTGAAGAATACAGGGTTTCGAGAAGGGTTGATTGCGTGCTAGAAAGCCAACCAGTTCGTTTGTCAACACCAACCAGTCAACAACATTTAGCGTCGGCTATTAGTTAACATTTTCGTCGTCCTTCATCATCAGTTCATATTTGATGCAAAACTTCACACCATGGCACCATTCACCCTTCGTCGTTTGGCCATAGAAGGAAGTACTTTTTCCTACTAATTCGTCGTGAATTATCATCTATTTTACATTGAGCTGCTCTTGGCGGTCCACCAAGGCAAATTCACATTAGTTTTTTCATTGTATTTTCCTGTAATCGATAAATAAATAACTTCGTTTGTTCCATTTTCATATCTGTTGTGCTTCCCGAGAGAAAATCAAAGAAACGCTAATTTTGTGACATGCTGAAGAAAGAAATGCTTATTTTGATTACCTATGCAGCTTTGTTTTTTCATGCTACACTTTGTATAACCCATGGTTTAAATAAGTATTTAAACAATTGCATAACCTATGTATATGATTCAGTAATGACAAATGACAATTATCTATTGAAATATGTGGGATATATTTAGACGTAAGTTCCGATTATGATATAATCAAAAACACCTAATTGGGAATTGCTCCTGAAATACCTGTTGCTTAAAAATTCATAGCGAATTGTTGCCTACTCGTTTGTAAAAAAATAACTGAAATGTAGATATTTTAGGTACATGGTTACAAAGCAAATTTAAGTGGTACTTTACACTTAGATAAAAGTCAAGGAATCCCCGGTAAATTATGGTACCTACTTATAGTGACAATAGTATAAATAACATTTATCGGATTTTTTTCGACAATGGGTAAAAG